AAGATAACTGAATAAACTAGCTAGACCTCATTACTGAGACACAATACCGACATCGCGGTAGAAGCAAGGCAGCTTCCTCTTTATACGGTTAAAGATTTAAGGTTTAAGATTCCTGTTCGGATTACTAGCACAGAGAAGACTTGTCGATTGCCTCTGCTAGAGCTATTCCCTTCCGTAAATATGCGCTTTTCATAGAACCGTTTTTGTAGTTAAGATCTCTACGTACATCGGCGAGCCATTCTTTTATAGTTAGAAAAAGGACGAAGCCTCTAGAGTACTAGCCTCATGATACTGCTAAATTCTGCAAATCCACTGTTCTTTGTTCTTCCATAATAGACCTTACTTTAATTATCCAAACAAGTTGATAATAAGTCCATCTTGATTCACAACCATGAAGTATAAGTTGGCATGTAGATTTTTTTCAAACCAGTCCAACRCAAAATGTTTCAAGTTACGGCCAACTGGTTGAAATTATAAGTTATCGAAAACCGAATCAACTCCATCACCAACGACCTGTTTCGTGCAAGTCTGTTTATAAAAAATCAAAAATCTTAAAAATTTAGACTGCTTTCTTTTTTTCTCTGTCACAAGCATCAGCCCGGATTCTTAGGTCCAGCGCGCGGTTTATAGCAAAAAAAATATCATTACTCAGATTTTAGCAAATAACAAAAAAAATTATCAGCGGCCGTCGGTAAAATTATACATTGGAATCCTACATCCTACTACAATAGAACGAGAAACCACTTTTATATTTTTGTGATTACTTAGCTGATCGAGTTATTGACTTAAGACAGTCTACCCCTCCCCTAGTAGTAAAGTAATTTCCATCAGACTGTTTGGATGGGAGTAAATAAATATCCACAAATCGGGCCAAAATCAACTTAACGCCACCTGGATTTGGGATAGGAGTAAAAATGTTAAATCGGCCTTTTTATTTGAGAAAGTAAAGGTTCGGGAATTATATTTTTTTGTATTTTCGAGGTGTAGTAATAGTACGCGTGGGAGAGAGAGTCGTTATCGTACAAGGGCCTTTGAGCATCGCCGACGTTCAGTCTTTGAGTCGCCAATCTCTTCGGGGGAAAAAATAGAACTCTATATTAGAAGGTAGAAGTTTTTCCTTTGGCGGGATTTTAACGAGGAGAGACATCAGATGAGGAATGAGAAAGACGTTGCATCTCAAAGTGATTGAATTATTTATTTTTTCGCGAGACCCGATAGCGCCAAATGCAGACATTTGCGAAGTTGTACAGCTGAGAAACAAGGTTCAATTACAGCTTTATCTTGACGAAAATTGCCTTAAATTGGACTGGACCAAAAGTTCAAACGCGACCGCCTCAATTATAGATGCAAGTGTAAAAGACGAATGGATTTTAATAGCACATAGACGTCTGTTCAGGTCGGGTCTGTGTGACAACCCTTCCAAACTACTAATAGCTTTTAGCCGGTAGTAAAGATAAGTTTACTAACAAAATGAATTGACGAAACAGAGATATTTTACTACGGCAAATAAAACAAAACAACCGAGGATTTTGAAAGATTTACGTAAGCCTTGAATTCGATAAAATCTTAAAATTGAATTGGAAACAAGAGAGAAAAAACAGTAACGGAGCTTTTACATAGAAATGGAGTGAAGCTTTCCAATATTTTCTTGGGAAATTTATACTTGTATTTTAAGCCAAGAAACTTGAAGGAAGGGGTTGATGACTTGATGTATTTATCTGTGCGAAGGCGGAGTGCGATACTGTTCAATACACTTTGCAAGGCGGCACGAATCGCTCATCGTGGCATACTCACACAAGTAAAAAAAATGCTCTCCCGAAAAAAAAATGCCTTGAAACCGGACTAAGCATGGGTGGAAAAAATAAGAGTGTTTGCTCATTTAGAAAGCACATTCTAAGTATTTATATGATGACAAGCAGTAACGAGTAGAGGCGGTGAAGTAAAAGGATAATACTTAAATTTACAGCATTAAATTGGCGTTGATTTAAGCCTAAAAGACTTTTTTCTAAAGCTTTGTTATCTACGACGGAGCTGGAGCTGGAGTTATCTAATCATGTTTGAAAATAACCCTTTGGGCAGAAATGGTAAGAGAATGTTTTAGCGGTAAACTTGAAAGGATAAAATATTCTTTCGGTCTCACAAGCGAGAAGGTATCTTAGAAAACAAGCAAAATGCCTTGAAACTTGTAAACATCACTACTCGTATCGCGCTTGTGTCAACTTAAATGATTTCTCTATAATTTACTTGAAAGAGGCGATCTTTTGTTTTGGAAGAAAATGTTTTAAGACATTTTTCTTGACGATTAAGGCGAATTAGAGTGATTCGTTTGAGCTGCTTTGGTTGGTAAGTAAATACAGAGGGATATTTCCTTTTTTTTTTTTTTCGTACGTGCTTTTCCCGCGGACATGGTTGTCAAGACAGCACGATCAAAAATCCTAAGAGGTCCTTTCTGTAAAGCTCCTTCGAATCTTAATTCCTGTCGTGTTCCTGCTGGCGATTTGTGCCAGTCGCAGCTTTCATTTTTGAATGAATATTTATTCAAAGTTTGACAAAACGCTTCAAAAGCTTACTTTAGTATTCCTTTTGAGGACGCCGACACTGACAGGGTAGTGGTCATTAGGGATTCAATACTAATTCTGATAAGCCACCGCTTAATACCTCGCACCACAACAAGGTGAAAGATTTTTCTAGTCACTTAGATACACGAGGAAATGACTCCTCTTGGCTTTTTAGGAATTGTAGATCTGTTATTTTTTCATCGCTTTTTAAAATCGAACACTAACGTTTAGACAACGTTGCAGTTTGGCCTAATTGTTGTGCGCAGGCAACGTGAGGTTTTCGACAAAGGTCCGATAATTTCTTCGTAGATACTGGATGAATTATTCAGTAAGAACCCCGTTGAGTGAGGCACCATGTAGGCGCAAGGAACGGGAGCATATCTAAGAATCAATACACTACATGATTCCTGATCACTCGCTAGCTTTGTATTCAACTTGTTTCCCGTAGACAAAGTCAATAAATCTCACAGTTGGAATAACTTTGGGGAAAATTCTTCCTTTTCTATATCTACTATAAACAATATTTAAGTATTTAGAATTTAATAAAAACTATGTTGTAAAGACAATCACAAAATAGGTTGTTTTGGTATTTTAGGCTTTTGTGCTCTCGAGTCAGAAAACTCAGATATCTGAGAATTTTCTCTTTTTTTTCTAAATTTTGACGCCGTCTTTCCGACGTACTTGAAAGACACAGGACTCCACTTTCTAGACAGCAAAATATTCGTAGTATTGAAGAAAAGAATGATTTAGCCGCATTACTCAGCTTTCCAGCCATCCATGAATTTTTGAATATTAGAAAATGTCACTCGCCTGTAGACACGCTTGACTATCTCAATGCGTAGCGCGTATAAATATTTCAGGGGCATCAAAAAGTAAGAAATTAGCTGTTGTTCGTATAGAAGTTTATGATATTTGTGAGCTTTGGGGCTTGTAATAAAATGAATAACATCGAAATAGGGACCTATGTTACGATCTGTAGAAGTCTTGTCACCTCTCAATCACAGCAAGAGTGCGAATAACCTGTTAATTGTTAGTCGAGGAAATTGGTCGAAATTGATCTCCGAACTCAAAGGACACCGACAAATCCAAACAGAAATAGCCAAGATAATTGCCCTTGAATGAGGCTTCCCGGCACATCCACATCATGTACCTACTCTCCATCTACGTACCCTGGAATACTAGCCGTGAAGCAAGATTTCCAAATTGGAATATTTTTTAAAGACATTTTTTTTTAATCCGATTGCCTTGATTGGCATGAATATTAAGGCTAGATGAATGAGGCTGTCCTTAAGGCGGCGACTGTAGGCGGGATCCCAATTAGCGAGTTGTAACCCAGCTCGTGGTTCAGTTGTATTCGCTTTTCACCCGCGCGTCTTTGCCGACATTAAAAATAAATTTGAGGTCCGCAGTGGGAGGTTTTGGCCGAAGTAGTTTTTTTAGTCGATCGGAGACCGGAAAAAACCACATTTGTAAGATGGATTTTAAAATGTCAGGGATTGATTCCGAAGTAAACAGAAGCGCTGGCGGTCAAATTGATTGACAATACTAGTGCGGTATGATGAAAGGTTATTCTGTTAACACCTCAAGCGCTTAGAGAGTAGTAGAACCACATCTCAGTCTCAGCCTCGTGCATTTCAATCACAATTGTCCCGAGCTTGTTACAGAGACAATGGTCTGTTTGCACCAGTGAAAAGCGTATTGGAGCTGTATTCTTATTTAAATTGGGCGGTCTCTTTGGTTCAAAATGACAGCACTTGTAAAGTTGATGACAATAACGCAAAGCGATAGCGGAAAACACAGAAGAACAAAACCAATGATTTTGGTTCAAGTGCTTTCATACACTGTGTTTATAGAAGCTTAGCCAATCAATGGTCCTCCTTAGCGGCGGTCGCCTTTGATCATCTAAGTCCAATCATAAAATGTCTCATCTTTTGATTTTGCTCATTAGTTCGCCGCCCTTGTACTCCTCCCCTGTCATGTCTTATAATAGCGACTTATTTGCCATAACAGCGTTTGTGTGAGAATACTATAAACTCCGGTCTCCGCCTCTTGTGTTTGATTGGACGGCGGCATCGTTTGTCTAATTACTTTAGCTCTGTTTTTCTCCGGCACCGGCTCACTCAACCAGCTGAAGGAGTATTGACGTGTTGGTGGGCAGGTTTCAATKTAGTTTGACTTCGATCGCGAACAGAACACATCTCGGCAGACTTCTCGCAGCGAAATTTTCGAAAACATTCCCTTAAAATGGCTACAGCCGCTCTGGTCAAGCCCGAAATATTTCAATTTCCACATGTAAGTTTATATTTATTTTGTAAAACCGTCCGGCTGTCTATTTTCGGTCTATATTTGTATATATATATGTGTATATATTATATTTATATCACGATATTTTTCGGTGAATTTTATATCTTATATTTTAATTGTTTTTTTCTGTTGCTTTAGGGCTACCCGAAGTCTTCGCCTCTTGCTCTTCTAGCAGCAACATGTAGTAAAATCGGACAACCAAGTTCTGTTTTGGATTTAGCAGACTATCATAACAAACTCTACAACTCAATGTTACAAGAGCAAGTCAATGTACAACATGCCATGAACATCCAGAACCAGTTGGCCTCTTACCAAGAGAGAAATCTACCTCTAACTCCTCCAGCAGAGCCTCATTACCCATCATCTTTCCCAGAGTTTTGCTTCTCAGCAATCCAGAAGCCACATCTTCCAGGTTTACCATTTCATCACGGAGCTTCGCCTCACCCTCCCAGCTCCGTCTGTATGACTGTTCACGGCCACGGATGTCCTGCAACAGTAGCAAGACCAACCTACTCTCAGTGTACTGCAGCATCTTGCAAGTCTGAGCGTGCTGAGGCACCACAACACTGGTGGAGTGTAGAACCTAGTAAAGTCCCGCGTTCTCCTATCGCTACTGGTTTACCAGGATCTCCTACGGGACACAACTTCTCATTTCACGGCCTACAGAATCCCTCTCCTACTGGGACGTATCATAGCGCGTTCACTTCAACTTTTGCCAGTTCACAAGCGGTTACTGCGACTCGAAGGTGTAGACGGTGTCGGTGCCCAAACTGCCAACTTGCAGCTACGACTGGAAACACGACCAAAAGAAAGCAACATATCTGCCATATACCTGGATGTGGTAAAGTCTATGGTAAAACATCGCATCTCAAGGCACATCTGAGATGGCATACAGGGGAACGACCCTTTGTTTGCAACTGGCTTTTCTGTGGGAAAAGCTTCACCAGATCAGATGAACTTCAAAGACATCTTCGTACTCATACAGGAGAGAAACGGTTCCAATGCGAAGAATGTGGAAAGCGATTCATGAGAAGTGATCACTTGAGAAAGCATCAGAAGACGCATCAAAATATTCCCAAAAAGGACAAGCCTGAAAACACCGAGGAATATAGTAAGGCACTAACTGTGGATGTAGATGAATCAAACGTAAATGAACTGAATAGTGTTATGGCTTTAACTCCCAAACAAGAAGAAAATGACAAAATGGAAGCTTCAGCGGATTGCTTTATCAACGTTGAACACTAGCCATAGCGTGATTTTAAAAAAGGAAAACGCTTATAAATTAAATTTCAAGAAATGAACTTACAAAACTCCAAAGAAAATCAGTTTATTTTAAGAGATGATATGACAAACGCTATTCTCTAACTTTCTATAAAATATTAGAATTATGGATCATCTGTCCACCTTAAGTTAAGAAAATGTATGTATATATGATATTATTATATGCGCAAATATCAAATGAATTTGCTTTAGGTCGATGTGCAGTGCATGTCGACTATTTGACAATGTATGATGTGTAGTGAATTGCACAGTGAAATTGGGCCAGATAACGATTACAGATGATTTATTTTATATTACAGCTCAATTTGTGTAAGTTTTAGCTTATCCAAAAGAGAAATAAAATCATTTTCTAGCTAAATTGATCCAGCTTTTGAATATATTATTCTTGAAATTGTTAACTTTATTCGATGTCGGCCCTTTTTCATGTTCAAGGATAATTTTAATTTGCAAGATGCATTAGAATGAAAGGCTTATACTTGAAAACACTGCCACGGAGCGTCATTGTTCGTCGGTCTTTACGTTCAAATCTCTACTCTTCGAATGTATTTTACTATTGTGATGAAGGGATAGTCGATTGTAAGTGATTAAAAGCAGTTGAAAATCCTTTTGAAAGGCGGTCCCTTTGATCAAGTTGTTTACCGAATTGTGGAAATATTATCAATTAGACAAAGCGTACTAATTATGAGTTGAAGCTGTAATACCTGTAGTAACATGGTGAACAACCATCACTCATTCTTACTCGTTAGACTTAGCATATCCTGTAGCCTGAGTTTAGGAGAGTTTAGGTAATTTTTAATAAGCCGAAAAGAAAGTCCAAACACGACTCGTGCATTCGGTTGACCACCCCTCGGGGTATCAACGAAATTATGAAGAAAATCAAGCAGGAGTGATTTGAAGGAAAGAGAGAGATTAGAAAACTTGTGAAGCCTCATGGAAATCTATCACAAAACTGAGTAAATTTGGTCATCGTCGTTCTTCAAACATTCGTTTATTCCTGTGGTTTTGCTAATGGAGTGCAACCACTTTTAGTTATGTGTGTGGCTCCGTCGGCTTCTTCAAACGGCAAATGAAACCGCGAGCAGATTGCCTGTAGCATTTCACGGGCTAATAGCTTTATACGACTCGAGAAGCTCCGCCATCCCACTTATGGCATCACGTTTCATTTACAATCATTTTTACTAAATTTTATGAGCTATTTTGGTCCAAGTGGAAAGATATTTTTCTTGACTTCAGGGTTGAAAAGTCGAACAATTTCAAAATCGATGATTTTACCAAGGATGTTTCACCACAATCAATGCTGATAAAATAACTATCAGAGACGGACGAGAGGTCTTTCCATTCAGCATATATATCCTTTTTAAAACGTTTTAATGTTTCCCGAAATAAAACTGAAATGCACAATCAATCATTTAAGCCTGTAAAAGATCTTCATTTATCTTAGTTTGTAAATGCGGAACTACTAGCTATTTGTCTTGCCTATTTGCTTCCCTAATTTCTTTACCTAATTTCTTTACCAATGATCCGACAGCAAAAATGATCTAAACACAGTTTGAGCGGCCYATAAGAAAATTTTAAGCACTATAAATCCAGAATATTACCTTGAAGGTGTTCTGTTATTAAGCTTAGGGAATTACTATTCGTATGAGGGATGGAAGGGGGGCTTACACTGTAAAGAAATGCAAGGCAAGGTGTTACACAACATTGATATTGTTTGACATTGGCCTTTTACAATAAACTCTAACTTGTGCTTGTTTTTCTACGATGAAAACTAATTTAAAACATTGACTCAAATAGAGAAAATGTAATGTAGATGAAATATACGGCTTCGGAAAGCACCGAAAAAGATAGTCTTCCAATCCTTACTCGCGGTGCTACACTGACTCGAGCTTGTAAAGATGCATTGGGAAACGGATGAAGATTTTGACCTCAAGAAATTCTTTTTTTATGAAACGAAACCGAATTTTTATTAGAGTGGCTAATATTGCTCTTACAGAGCTTTTTTTTTTCTTTTCTTTTTCTACCTTTAGCAATTATACTTGATTTTAAGATGAAGGAACCGTTTGGAACTGACGGTTGGATGTTTGGATATTTCAGTTCCACCTGTGAACTCGTAGTTTTTCAAGAATGTTTTTCTCACAATACATGAATTCGGTCTTCCTTAAACTAATAATTTTCTAAAGAAAACATGTATTGGTATAAAAAAATCATGTTCAAATGGTATAGTAAGCATTTTTGGGGGGTTTTGCTAACAGTTGAAGCAGAGTATTCACCTTTTATTCAAGAGTATTACAATTATTTATCCAAGTGTTTTGTCAAGGTCTCCGGTCTTACTAAATATGTCTTGATCAGACGGGGGGAAAATATAGGCAAAAAATGACATAAACAAATTAATTTGCTCCTGGGCTGAGCATATATGCTTGCTCACGGAACACAATAACATGTAAGCCCTTGGACTTTAGTAATGAGGTACTTCAAGGAACATTTATGTCTCTGCTTTAGATTTGGATAGAAAATATTTAACTCTAGTCCAATCATATCAGTGAATTTCCATCCAAGGGAAATTGAAGTGTCTAACTACAGTGAACGAGTCGACAGTCTCGTATGAATTTGATAGAGTTTTAAATAGACGAATATTGTCTTTGTGAAAGCATGGTCTGCCGGCACATGTTACTGAGCTTGGACTGCTTTGGCTTTCTTGCTCAACAGCTGTGGATCAAAGTATCAAATATATACATTAAAATCACCTCAGATACTACCAATGGAAAGATATACGTTTCGTTGTTCGTTTCCTCGTATAAATTAAACACAAGAACGAGAAGACAGCTTGATCTTTTTTTAGCCAGAGTTCTCTACTCGCCTCCTGTCAAGAGGGCGGAGATTTACCTTTAGCACGCGTTAGGTAAACTTCAGCTCTCCACAGGAACTCCGTAAAAACAAGAAACCACCATAATGCTTGTTATCAAGCATGATGGGAGTCAATGTTGGTGTATGGGACGAGGCAGCTTGACATCTTTGTTTGGTGTTGGTTGGAAATTGTGGTTCAAGCTGTGAGATTTGATGAAGAATTTGCTCCGCATTTTGTATTGAGCTTGAACTAAAACAATACGCGAAACAATACTTGAGTCAGTGTAGGTGGCGCAAACTATTCGATTCATTCATTCTTCAATTTTACTATTTCTTTCCCTTTTTCTATTATTCCTTTTATTTTCAATCTTCCCTTCTTCGATCTTTCTTTTCTCTCTCATTATTTTCTTTGATTTCTTTCTTTCAATTACTATGGTTCTCTGTTTCTTT